AACGCATGAGATCCAGACCATGAAGTGTTAAGGACCGCACTGGCCAATCATTTCTGCGGCATCTTCGATGACTTTGAGCCCTTTCTCCTGAACATAGGCAAGTTTGCAAGCGCAAGCCAATAGCCTCACAGCAGAATACATGTCGCCCAACATCGCATGTGTCCTTCGCGAGAGCCATGATTGGCCTCGACACCATGTCACGTGTCTTCTGCACATGCACGCCCGCTTCCACAGGTGCAGACATCAACCACCGATCGCAGTACTGGAATCCAGCCCATGCAAACACATGACAAAATGCATTCGTTTCGGGAGGCTGGCTCCATGTCGACAGGAAAGTGGTATGTGTGAACGCACAGGATGGCCTGCCAATGTTGATGCCGGATATGTCCTTTACCCGCAAATGTGTTTGCCTTCGTTTTGGGCGTGAGCTTCGCCGCAACTTGGGACACGTTCATGTTAAAGCTGTCATCCTCAAGGTCACTGCAAACCACCACTGGCCCCGGCCAAATACGAAGCACTTCTTTCTCTCAGATCCTGTTGAAAGCTGCTTCTCGCTGAGGTTTCGGCCGAGTCGACCAGGACCGGCTTGGAGCCGCCACGGACGATCTGCAGTTAGGTAAGATGTTTTGCAGATTCCCGCTTTCAATGTTGAAGTAAATCTTCTTGAAAAATTCGAAGACACCAACATTTGCAAAGGCATCCGCGTGGTTAGAGGAAACGAAGGTTAAAGCAGTGTTGCAAACAGACACTGGCCACTGGATCTCTCTGCTTTTGATCGAATCTATCCTATCAGAAAACACAAATCACTGACACGGTCGTGCAAAACAAGTCTGCTCAAAGCGGCAGGACCCAAGCTTGATGTGGAAGACGACTAAGGATGCACATCTGCAACTACCCTCATGTCATGTACATGAAACAAGATGATGTTGATGATGATGATGATGAAGGAGAAGATGGCATGAACATTTTGATACCATGTATGCCAGACCAAAAGAATGGCATACAAAACGAGAATGAAACGATCCGTAGAGGGTGTGGTTTCGGCCCTTCGTTATGCTGGACACAAAAGAATGAAGCGGGACGAAATGAGACGAGGATGAACATTAAGATGGGCAGGCGAAGCAAGCACGTTGTCCTGGGGTGTAGGGGAGAACTTCGTTGGACGGAGCTCCTCTGCACCCCCTGCACATGCTAACGCTTACGGCACGAAAAGGAATGTAAAGAGCGCAACCACCGACATGAGAAGTAAACCCTTCCAAGCAAGCGAGGCAACATCCTTGGCACATCAGCTCACACTAAAGGTCGACGGATTCCTCTTGCAAATGTGAACAAATGAAAACGGACATACGAACTAGATCAACCAAAACATGCAAGACAACATGCCTCATGCAAGGTTTACCGCATGAACAGCAGAAAAGCACAAACAGGCCCTTGCGGGGCCACCTCACCCTGAGAATCTGTCACTGCAACCCGTATAGGAAAGACTCCCCCGATGCACGTTTGTTCTGTCCACCACGGCGAAAGAATGTCACTCCCATCTGAAAAATAAAACTTCAGAACAGCGTCGACCTGCTGCCGCATCCCTTGCACGTCAGTTGCGCATTCCTTTCACGTCCCCGGCACACATCACTCACTCGCCCGAAAGACTTCCGCTTGCGAATGTGAACAAATGAAAACCGACATACGAACAAGATCAAACACAACATGCATGGCTATATGACTGACGCAACGTTCATCGCATGAACAGCAACAGAACATTACACAGGCCCCTGCAAGGCCGCTTAAACCATCTTCAACCTCAGAATCTGCTGCTGCAACTTGTAGAGGAAAGACTCCACTGCACGTCCTGTGCACATCAGCGAAACCTTCTGGCCCGGCAGCTGAGGAACATAAGTGGCAACAGATATTTCTTGAAGGTAGATCTCCATTACTCGTCCAGAGAGCCGTCGACCACGCCTCCGAACAAGTTCAGCGTTCTCTGTTTGGGCGAGCATGCAGGTGGCACCGCCGGGACGGAGAGAGGCCAAGCTAAGACGACAAAGGATTTTTCTGAAGCGCGGCGAAGGATGCCATCAGAATAAGGCCAAAGTTTAGCCCCAGCTGGTGAACGTCCAAAAACTGCAGACAAGAGCTCGGCGATGCCGGCAGGGTCAACTCTGGCGGCCTGTGTCGGGCCGCTCTCCCTCGAGTTTTGGGAGCTCCAACGCGAAGAATGGCATGGCAAGTTCCGTCGTCCGGTAACACCAAGTCCCTCCTTATGGCATTTAAGACCTCCCCAATCCTTCATAAGCCAGTCCAAGCCAAACCAAAGATAGCCGCCTCGACTGCCCAGCCCCAAAGAAGCGCAAAACTCATCACAGCTGAAAGTATAGACTTCGGCATGGCCTTGTGATGAATAGATGGCTCCTCAGCAAGCCAAGCGAAGGCCAAATCCCAGGGTCTTGCGAGCCATCTACGAACTGAAGGCCGGAGGCTAGCAACAGCATTGCTCGTCTCAAAAACTTGTAGTAGGCTTGCCCAAACCTGAAAAGAAATAGGTCATTGGCAGTCAAAGCCTCACTAATCTGCTCCGTTTGCTCGCAAGGGACCGCTAGCAACAGTCAAGAGCGTCCTTGGTTTTCACAGAGCTAGTTAGAAAAGGCCTCGGCGAGCTTAGCACGGTTGCTTCTATAGTGACAGATCGAACGATCCTGTGGGGTTCAAGCAGTAGGCCTGAACGTCTGAGAGCACGATCGGCGTCAGCCGGTGTACAAGGGGCAGGGGCGGCCATGGCAGCTACAGCTAGGACCCTGAACACCCTGAACTAAAAGTCACCAGGGTGGAGTCAAAGACCAAAAGATCGACGGAAGTTTTTCGACTTCTTGGAGTTCGAGCTAGGTCACCAGCTCTATGCCCACTTGGGTGACACCTCCAGGCTTCATTCGCACAGGTCGTGCCTTGTACAACCAGCTCATTTGCAGATATACGATTCGTTCGGCCTTTAGTTCCCCAGCACTAGGTGTAGCGGTTTTGCTAGGGGGGCTCCTATTCCCTGCAAGTAGCACTCGCTATCATGCTGGCTTGGACGCATTTTGTCCAATCTGAAGCTATCACGCCCATCGTGCCTGATTTGGCAGCTCTGTCGACGACACGCATCTTTGCGGTTGGCGCAGATTCCACGCAGGTCGCACAGTCTGTGCTGTCCTTTTTGGCAGGTTTCTTGTGAGTTCGATCGCCTCGCTCGTAACGGGGTTCCCCCTATCTTTCTTCACGTGACTCCAGGGTCGACGCTGCGGTGGCCAAACTCCATAAGGTTGGGTATGCCCCTCTTCGGTTTGATAGTCGGGTTAGGATGACAACTACTGCAGCTGTGCCTACCGCTGTCTATGGCACTGAGTTACTTGAGTTGAGCTCTTCCCAGTACATACGCCTGCAATCTGCTGCAGCTAATTGCAGCTACAATGCTTTGGAAAGGTAAGACTTGGCGTAGGTGCGTTGCCACGACGTACACTCTGATCGTTCCTGGCCGCAGACTGGTAGGTAAGCCTGCAGTTATGTACCATACGTTACTCGTTGCTTGTCGCTTGCTTACCAAGCGCCCCGCTTTACGCGACAGATTTTGTCAGGTATGGCATGCTGTATCTGAACATGATGATCCCTGCGACTCTGCTGTTGGGCCGGTGCGGCGACTGTTTCAGGTCATCCAGTCTCTGCAAGCTACATGGCCCGAACCGTTTTTCTTCGTTACGTACGAAGGTGCTCGCGTCGATCTTTCTGCTGTTCCCACTGAGAAGTGGAAGCACGCACTTCGTGAGGCGGCTTTGAGGTGCAGCATTTGGCGCCAGGATGCTGCTTACAGTGCGCGTATTGAAACGCAGACTGCAGGCCGCATTGCCTATGAGACTACTGTTGCACTTTTCCGCGGCAGTGGCAAGCGTACTGCGTCTCTTGACGCGAGCTACGTTCAATTACTGTCATTCATTGAACTCAGTCGTTTGAAAATGGTCTGAACAGATTCTGTCCGCACTCAAGAGCGGTTGAGTAGAGGCCACTCCGTTGATGCACCAATGTGCATATGGTGCTCGCAGGCAGATGAGACAGTTCATCATTGCTTTGGGAGTGCCCTGCCTGGCACGATCAAAGAACAGATTTCATTTCCAGTCATTTTCCTCTTCCCGCCTCGTTGCCACTTTGTTTGCTTCAGTGTGGCATAATGCCACGTGCGCTTATAGAAACTGGAATGTTTCTGTTTCAGTTGCCGCTCGTCTTTGCATTGATATTCAATGGCTCATGATTGGAGTTCTCTCTGCAAGAGAAGCACGAATCAGAGCTTCTGCTGTTTGTCCTCATGCTCCAGGTGCACAAGATGACGAGGTCCCTCTGCCTCCAGAGCTTCACCCTGATGCCTCTGACCGCAGACGTGATTTATATCCTGGTTACCCGGAACCACGACACCGCTTTCCAAGGTAACTTGCGGTTTTAAGGCACGGTGCCGAAGAATTTGCTTATCTGCAAACAGGGTTCTAAGTGGTTGTTCGGGATTCAGGTTTTTGAACCTTTGCTCTGGTACTGGCGGCAGCTTAAATGGCCGCCTCAATCTGACAGTCTGGATACTATGAGTTGGCTGGAGTTTTTCTATAGACTTGCATGCTGCCGCTCATATTCCGCTGTGTTCTCCTGATCAGGTCCCCAAGCCACTCACTGCAGAATCTGCTGCGAGATTCTCGCAAATCTAAGCTTTTTCCCCCGCCTGTAGCTTCTCGCAGGTCCCTATTCTGACTGGTTTGGGGTTCGGTCGTTGCAGACTGCGCCTCGTTGTACCGCACATTGTGCATCGTGTGCTTTTCATAGCCGCTTCTCCTCACACTGCCACGAAGCAAGGTCGACTCAAGGCCTCTGTTCCTGTTCCTGCGCCGATATGGAACAATCCCAATGCAATGCGTCGCACGCCTGGGAGCAAAGTCCCGTTGTATCCTCTGTTCCAGTTCCCAAGAAGGCTCGGATTGCTAAGAATCATAAAGAGTCTGTTGTCAATGTCGTTTGGTCTGCCTCAGAGCAGCGGCTGCTCGATGCCTGCACGCACTGGCAGGACAAGCACAGGCTTGAGAAACTTATTTTGCATATATATAATCGGTCTGCGATCAGCCAGGGCAAGCATTTACTATGCCTTTTCAGTGTGGGGAGCCGGCGCGCTGCAATCTTTGCAATCGCTCCAAGTTTTTGCTTGAGAAATGCGCAGGTTCTGCAGACACTGATACTCCTGCAGGATCTCAGTGCGTCAGTGTGCAACTTGAAAAGCATGTGCAACTTGTTAATGAGTTCAATTTGTGTTTGCTGAACACCAGCACCGTATTGTGGTGCCTACCAGTCTTGATGACGGCCTTGCAAGTAGTCTGTTCGGTTATGTTGAGTCAAGTGGATGGAGACGGCTGTTTTTCGGCAAATGCACCTGTCCGCTTGCACGCTGATACTGCATTTTCTGATGCGACTTCTTCACCTGTAGGACTTGACCTTGTTTCTTGAAGTGTTTGGTTTGTTTCCCAACCTACACTTGTGATGGCCCTGCCAGCTCACGGTTGGGCAGCAGCATATCCGAGGCAACTCTTTCCCAGAAAACTTCATCCGAGAGACATCAAGAGACCAAAAAGGGTGAAGCTAGGGGAGGCCCGGTGAGGGAACAACTTTTGGCACAGACCTAGCAGAGAAGCTTTCAAGCTCCCAGAGGCGAGCGAGCAACCAATTCAATGCCAGAACGACCTGGAGGGAGTGGGTACTCCTCCCTAAGCCTGTCACACGCACGTATGAGCTTCAGCAGCAGCCTATTGTAGACCTGCCGCTGGTGGGCATTGGGATGCCTCCACAACAACTCCTGAAAGGGCCTGTAGTTAAGGGCAAGCACAGTCACGCAAAGCAGCCTTGTCTGGTAGAGGCGACGCCAAGCTGGTATGAGCCGCGGGCCACTGCTCTGGAAGAGGTCCTAGTAGGGCATGCTGGTTGTTGCCCATCACGGGCGCTCGTGTTCTCAGAGAGCAGCGAGCCGCGTCGAGTTTGCAAGCAAAAATGGCTCAGAAGTATCAAGAAGCAAACCCCCTCTTTCCGCTCGAAAGGGGGTTTGCTTCGGCGGGGTTTGCAAGCACCAAGGCCAGGAGGAGGGCCGCCGTTTTGGTCGGGGGCCTCTCCTTCCTGTGGCTGGTCGGATCCAGCTGCTGAACCCGTTGCTCGTGGACTCCTGCCGGCGGTGTTGAATCACCTCCATCTCCTTCAAGTAACTCAAAACAACAGAGGGTGTAAAAGGGCGATTTCTCATGAGGGTCGTCACTGAGCGATTTGCGAACATCCGGGCGGGTGGCTCCTCCAGCCACGTGAGCTGATATGCCAGCTCCATCTGGCCGAAACCGCCAGAAGCGCAAGATGATCCTGACAAAGCTCGCTCTTTCCTGCCTGCATGGCATCCATCGCCATCGCAACCTGGCGGGCAATCAAGGCGAGGTCTATCTCTCGAAATATCGGGTCAAGCCAATCCCCTGGTTCAAAAGCACCGTCGGCTCTGACGTGTGAGTGACAGCTGGAGACATTCTCCTTGCCATGTTCCCTAGGACAGCAGAGTAAAACGCCCCGCGCCCCGTGGCTGATTTGTCTTGCAGCCGATTTCTTTGCGCCGCTCAGTGGGCCGCAGCACCTTGAGTTCAGCGGATCGGCGTTTGCAGAGAAAAGTTGAGTCACGAGCGTGGTTAGCGCTTGACTTTGTGCAAGGACGGCTTTGGCAAGGTGGCCGGACTCCTCCTGTCCTGTCTCGCCTTCGAGTTCCTCGGTCTCTGCGGCTGCAGCAAGGAGAGGGGCCTGAGGGGCCAAAAGACGCCGCTGAGGCACAGGCTACTTTGGAGTAGCCTAAACCCAAACACTCGAAGAGAGCGGCCGTCGGGCCAGCTGACAGCTTCTTCTCCATTGCCGCTTGCCTCGTCACCACATCCTCCAGTTTCGCTGCTAGGAGGCTGTCAGAACTTCGAGCAGGGTGGCCAGCCATTGTCGGGAGTTGCAGCATCGAAGGCCACTAGGATCTCCGGCTCGATCCCGGACACCAAAAGCGTGAAACGAGGAGCGGCAAGGGCAGGAAAAGTGTCGACTCGCCTGGGGTGATCACCCTCTCTGGGATCGCAGCCATAGAACCGGGCCCCCTCTTCATCACTATCATGGCATGGCCTTCTGCCCCGTCGTCTGAGCTCACAGGGTTCTCGTAGTCGTAGATGAATGTGGCCCGAGTTGGCGAAGGTCTGGATATGATCCATCTCTAGGATATCAAGGGTCAGGGAATCCCGGCCCCCAGCGCGTAGATGTCGGATTCCGTCTCCGAGGCCGACCCGTGGAACACTGCCGGACTCGAGGGGAGAGGGCCAAACGCGTTTGCCACGTCCTGGTAGGACCTGTAGAAGGCAGGCTGCATTCCAGGGCCCCCCAGCACAGGATAAAAACGATTGCCCAGCCAGAGGCGCTGAGATGCCGAAGGCATAGGGAAAGATCCAGAAAGGACTTCGTGAGCCCAAAGCCCAGTCCGCCAAGCACGGCGAACCCTGTCTTTTCTGAGCAGAGAGGTACGCAGGACAATTCGGAAAACTTGCCTCGACCTCTGACCTAAAAGTGGGGCGTGTGGCCGCTGGCCAACAATGGGGCACTGGAGCCTCAGGCCTGTGAACCTGATGCACGCACGCCCGGAGAAGACTCAAGGCTGGAGTGGTCGCCTCCTTTGGCATGCAAGTAAGACCGAAGTCGGAGAGCTGAGGCTTGGGAGCCCTCGGAGGAGGGGCCAAGGCCACGAGCCCCAGCCGGAAAGCTATCCCAGGCGCACAAGAACGACAACGCAAGACCTGGAAGGGTGGATGGGCAGCAGTGAATAGGGCAGCCTAATCCCCAGAGATTGGAGGTAAGCCCGTCACGAACGAAACCCAGGACCCTAAAGACTTCCATCTACAGCTTGAGCAGGATAGCACAGCATGCTCGAACTCGATACTTAAGTCACAACGATGCACGCCTTCAACTACCCTCATGTCATGTACATGAAACAAGATGATGTTGATGATGATGATGATGATGATGAAGGCGAAGACGACATAAACGTTTTGATACCATGTATGCTAGACCAAAAGAATGGCATACAAAACGAAAATGAACGATCCGTAGAGGGTGTGGTTTCGGCCCCTCGTTGTGCCAGACACAAAGGAATGACGTGGGACGAAATGAGACGCGGATGAACATTAAGATGGGTGCCAAGCCAGCTGCCTCCTGCACATGCGAACGCTTACGACATGAAAATGAACGCAAAGAGCACGAAAGCAACCACCGACATGCCAAGCAAACCGTTCGAAGCAAGCGAGACAAACGGAAAGGAAAGACTGCGCGAAGCAAGCCGTTCGAAGCAAGCCAAACAATATGACTGGTGCACGGCTTGTCGCATGTACAGCAGAATTACACAAACGAGCAAAGAAGTCTGACCTTATGATATGATAGCTCTTTAATCACAAGCAGCCGGGCCTGATTTATGCATGAGATGATGCAGAAGGTCGGCAGGATGACCTCAAGACGACACAACCGAAACGGACGCACAATGTCTTGAGCCTCTGGAGGCACAGCAGCGGCACTCAGACTTTTTAACAGGAACCGGCAATTGCATGAAGCACCAAAGCACTAAAACAGGAAACTTGAGCCTGCCGGTTTGTGTGAAAGATGGTGGGCACTTCTATGTACAGTCTGCACCATCAGCACAGTCGCAGAGCAATAGTGAAAGGACATTCAAACATAACTGGTTGATTTAGTGATGTCGGATGCTTGCGGGACCGGATTCAGGTTTCCGACAGCCTTGCTCACGCATGAGACTGCCATCACGTCGCCCATCTTCCCGTAGCAGTCAGGACCCTGCAGCACCTCCCCAAATATCATGGACAAATCTGTCTGATGTTCCGTTCATGACCAGCTTCTTCTGCACCTGGTCATACACCATGACGTATGCGCGGGCCTCTTCCAAGTTCTGCCGCTGAACTGCTTTTCGTTGGGACAGCGGTGCTTTGCTTGCACCCTGCTTTCCAGCACCTGCTGAAGATGACGCAGATTGTTCGACGGCAGTCTTGTCCACTGCCTTAGTTCTGATTCTGGATCCAGGGAGGTGAATTGATGCTGTATGTTTTTATCGGCTCACACTCACGACTAAGTTTGGTAACGATTCAGTTAAGGGGAGACATTAAGTCGGCTCGGCCAGGCATCACTCGAGATGTTCAACCCAGTCTGACCAGACGTACAGATGCTGTCACGGCAAACTTTCTCTTCCATGTGCAGGGGATGTCATTGCCAAACAGAAACTAGACGGTAGCAAACTTGACCTTGAGCCTCGGATTGAAACAAAATACTTGTCGGACTGCTGCCGGGTTCACTTGCACAGCTCCACGTTTACTTAGGCCAAGCGCATTAGCCGTGCCAAACTCACATGGCCTGTATAAGAGGTCCGCACCTCGTCACCTTGCCCCAGCCCAAGCGCCTGCAGACCGGTTGATATCAGAACTGCATGCGATCCCATTGGATCAAACAACTTGAAATCTTGGATTTGCACCTGCACGGCTATATCCAGGGCGGCCGTGCCGTTCGCACATGCGATGCCATGCCTGGCAGGCATACAAGTTCAGTCAGCGGCAGGCCTGACCATTTCCCATCTGTCACAGTCGCGGAATCCTTCGTTGACATCTGGCGGCTAATTTGCTCTCGAAATCCTTCACTGCCGGACCTTGCTCGCTGCCACGCACCAGATTTCATCGCAACAGGTCTCTTCGGAAAGGCGTCGGTGCGGCCTTCCGAGGATATCCAGCCCGTCTCAATGCACTTTGCCACCAACACCTGGAAAACAGGAGCGCTCAAAAGCCTTGGGCTCTTCGGAGCAGTCCATTCCAGGAGCTGCTTGAATCACTGGGTGTAAGACCTTCTCGTTCCCCCAAAACTTCGGAGTGTTGACCGGGAATGCTTGCGATGACAAATCAGCCATTGCTCTGGGTCAAGAGCTGAGATGCACGGACGTCAAAGACGATTACGACTGCATCTTTGTTGGCAAGTGTACAACACGAATTGTCATGTCCTTTGCTTGTTTTTTTGCACGAGGCTTCCAAACGTTTCATGCTGCACCTTTGTGTATTGCTTGAGTGCGGTCGCGAAGTTAAATCCAGAACATTACGAGTCGGCTGTTATAGCGCATGGTGGGGTTACACACTGGACAACATGTTCAGTCAGGAGGAGTTCTTACATGCCGTGTGGCAACCCTCTCCGAGTGCTCTCAAACTAAACGTGCAACATATCCGGTCAGTGTGATCAAACACTTTGCAAGGAATGGGTGAATGAAGACTTCTGCCATGAAGACAAGGCCCCAACCCTCCAGCACCTTCTAGGTGTGTTCCTGTATCCTGAAAGCCTCTTCTCCCTCACTTTCGGCGCAAACAGGTGCCCCAGGGCTGCCGGCGTGTCCCAGCAATCTCGTCGGGCATCCAGGGGGTGGCCAGGAGATGAGGACGGCACCGTTTTGCACAATCGCAAGCTAAAGAACTCCTGAATTTCTTGACGACCTTTTTTGCCGCATTCAAGGGAGCGAGCAAGTGCTTCAAGCCTCCAGACGTTTGCAGAGCCTGCTCTATGTCGCTGAAATAGAACTCTTTGCAGACCCACCCCAGGGATGTCAGTTGTCTGGTGCGCGCTCGTGCGGAAGCCAGCATTGAACCTGAAATAGTTAAGTCCCGTGGAGACTGGATAAGCAGTGCAACTTCACCAAAAAGGACAGCTTGCACATAATGACACCCTCCAATCAACACTTTGGCTTCGTGAGCTATAGCCAGCTCGACCAAAGCATTGGAAACTTGGTCGGCATAGTCATATAGTGAACCTGCACTGCAAAGGCTAGATGGCTTCACTTCAAGATGAGGTAGTGTGGCCCCTTGCAAAACATCCATTCCCGTAATGGCCATTTCAAGTTCCAGTGACTGCAACACCATATGCCTGCCGGTATGGCAGGGATCGTGTTCATTTGCAAGCTGCACATCAAGCAGAATCTTTGAACCTGCAAATTCCTCAGCGTAACCAAGGCATACAACGGCGGCGGCCAAATACAGCTTGCCTGTTGCATCCATGGAAATAAGGGAAGAATTCCGAAAACATGGCAGCAAGACATGCCTTGCAAGATCGTCATAACACAGTTCGGCGAGAGCCCATGCCAGCGGTGGCCACCAATGCTGGTCTTGACCATGCTGCCACACCTCTTCGAGCCCTAGCATTTCCCGCATCAGCTGCACTACATCCGGAACTGGAGCTTGATCCCACGACAGCGAAGCACAAGCACAGAGAAGCTGTGCAGCAGCTCTTGCTGCAGTCAAGCACTCTGAGTTTGAAGCTCTTACGGCCCGGATGCCCTCTGCAGCTGCAGAGAGACAAGCAGCCACGCCATCTCGAAACCGCTGGTTCTTCTGCAAACGCTCTTGAACTCTCTCCCTCATGTGTGGACGTAGCTCTGCGAAAGCACCCCACAGGCGAAGAAAAGTAGGTGTATCGACGGTCTTGGACAGCAATCGTGGGAGTTGCCCTGCACAGATGTTTAAGAGCAGCGAGTCATCTAGCTTCAACCCAACCATAGCCTCCACGAGATCTGCCATGTCCTGCAGATTGCAACGCCACCATCCTTGTGCACGACTGCGAATTGTTTTCATAAGCTCGGGAATGAGATCTGTTGAATCCATCTGCAGTCGAGACAATGCGTGCAGGGCATGGATGCACTCTGCCGCATCGAGCCATTTGACGAGCCGCGTTGCATCCCTCAGCAACTCTTCGAGCCCTTCAGGCACATACTCAGCCTCTGCCAATCCGATCAAGATTTCGACGATATTGCTCGCATGCAACAGGTGCCGTTGCTGAAGCACTTGTCCAAAAAGACCCCTGTACAGGGATGTGTCGTCGACTCCAGCAGTACCGAAGCCGTGGATAGTGCGAGCGATCTGTAGTGGAGTGAATGATGCTGTGATGGCTTTGGCGTGCTTCTGCAGTGCTTTGAACAAGCCTTTGTGCGCATATTCTATTCCAGCGAAAGCTGCAACCACGCTAGAAACATCATGTGCATTCATGACGCGGACCTTGGATGTTAATGTGTGGGCAAAATCATTGAAGATGCCTTCGTCAAACACACGCGCGTTGCTGAACGCAAATGCTAATGTGCACAAGTCTCGGGGAGCCTCGAAATCTAAAAACTTGCTGCGCACCACAGGGGCTATGGTTTCAGTCAGTAGCTCTTCGTCAGCTTCCTGCAAACGGGACAAGGCCCAGGCAATTTGGGTTATTTCCTTCGGCGAACAACTCTCAGCTTTCTGCCGCAGCAGGTGCCGGATATGTTCACACAGCTCACCGTGAGTGAAGTTCAAGATGGCCATCGCCCACAGGAGGGAAGTAACGTCTGACATTGAGAACTCACTTAGGACTGGCATTGCCTGCTGTGCAATCGTAACAAACAGCCCCTCATCTCGAACTTGCAAGCGAGAAAGGGCGGCGGCGGCACAAGCTAGATCAAGCGATGTGGTCAGCTCGGGCAGTCTCTCGCTGAGCTGCCTGACCAACGATTCCTGCAGCTGCTCGCACTGCTTGAAGTGTTTGGGTGGTTTCGACTTGGCAAGGCTTCCCAGCAGAACGCTCAAGTCGCGCCCGGTAAATGATTCGCACTGCGCACATCGACCGATCAAGTCTCCCGACCAGTCCGGCCAGCACTGCAGACTCGCCAGAGACCACACCAGGTGGACCATCCCACGTGGGTTGAGAGCATCAACTTTGCGCGATACTGCACTCAGCATCAACTCAAAGCGAGGATTGTCAACCAGGGCCATGTGCGATCCATCATACAGCTTGGCAACCCTGTGCAGGGCTGTTACCAAGTTTATGGAGTCCATTCCTTGCAGCACCTCTGCTGTGCAGATGGCCAAGATGCGTCCCACGCTCCTGGCTCGCAGAATGTCCTGCTGAATGGCCAGTCGATCCGGGTGCATGTCGAGCAGCTCTTCTTTCCTCGCGGCCATAGATGCTCCATGAAATGCCAACGCACGTCGCCGCATTGAAGAATTCAATGAGTTCAAGGGCTGAAGCGGTTCTGGTGCTTTTGGAAGCGATTGCACTGCCAAGTGCTTGGTCTCAGGCTCAGCCGGTCCAAGTCTACCTTTGCCACTCAAACCCGGCTGAGAAGAGACTAGACATGCTTTAAGAACGTTCGACGATCTGCGAGCAGTGCTCGCAGGCGATCCAACACGTCTGACGACGGCCACAGGCTCAGATGTCTTAGGACTGGTCGTTGCCGGTGCCGCTGCACGAATGATTTGGCTCGGGTGTGAAAGCTGATTTTTCAGAGTTGCCTTCTCACGAAACGAATGCCGTGGCAAGTAAACACATCTTGGGACGTGGCATGTCTCACAGCTGCATGCTGTTCCCATGGACACTTTGAAGCCCCAAAGACGTGAACTGGTGATCGGATGATGGACCTGCTAGCTGCCACCCCTGGTGTCGTGGCCAAGAATCTTCAACCCGCACATTTGCAATGGGAAAGCAAAGCAGTTGCAGGCTACGTTGGAGCAACAACAGCTGCAAGAGAAAGCTTAGCATCAGACACCGTTGCCTGCCGTGTTGAATCCACTTCTCAGTAAGTGGAGAATTCACCCAGCTACATACGAGTACGCAAATCAAGAAGAACCTTGCAGTGCCTCAAACGTCCGATTCCTACTAATCAGCCATCAATATCGGTTATACGAACACCCTGGCGTCTGCCGTTCCATTTGACCACACTGGCTACAACTCTTGTCGTCGGCTTTCACCAAAATGAGGAGGACCTTGCACGGCGCTGATCGACTTTTTGCAGACCCTGGACTCCTAACAGGTCCCTGGCCCATGGCTTCACGAAAGCGGCGGACTTGCTTTTTGGCTGCACCAGATGCCTCAGCTTTGTTGAGAAAAGCTGCGATTCTCCGGATTCTTGCGACGCTTGCAAACCAATGACAAAAGCCTTTGCCCAGCTTGGGTTTCTCTTGGCATGCTGCCAACTGGATGTAGTTACGACGGTCGGCAAATTCTTCTGCGGCCACCTGCCACCGCGCTTCGTGGAGCGGACAGTGCTGCCATGTGCTACCACTGTCCTGCAGGCACCTCGAGTTTCAGGACAGGCCTGTCTCGGCCACTGCCGTTCTCCAGCCCCTGTTGCAAACGTGTATCAAAGTGCTCAGAGCTTGGAGCTTCCGCAACACTCTCAAGTCGGGCAGCGCTTTTTTACCCAGGATTTCTGCATGTACACTGAGTCTCTAAACCACAGCCCGGCTTCGGTCGAGTCTTCACATTTCCCCACATCCTATGACTGCAAGCCCTTAACTTTTGCACTTAAATAATCGGCCAGATTTGCTAAAGCAACGGACGTAGAAGCCTACCAAGCCCGGTGAACTTTTGGACTTTGAGTAGTCCAACGACTAGTGACTCTAGACTCTAGACGCGATGGCTGTGCAAGCATGCAGCCGACTACCTGCAGACGCCGAGAGCAACATCCCAGGATGAACAAACGTGCTGCTTCAACGGCTTGAGCAGGAAACCTCCGAAACAAACGCACCATCAGTGCCTGGGAGGTCACTGTGTCAGCTGCAGTTGGCCGGGCGTTCTGTACAAACTTCTCTCAGTATGAGTGCTCTACCAGTGCTGTCCAGCATGCGATACAAGCCCACATCTGTAGCACACCGCCCATTTGCATCATCGTCGTTTCGGCACAGCCAATCCACGATTTGGAGGCAGCGACCGCCCTGAGAGGAGCGAATCAATGACGCGTGTTGGGTATGACGGCGTATGACCCGGAAGGCACTTGGCACTTGCCTGAGTGTGGTTGCAAGAGTGCTGCTTGTTGGGGTCGACCGTGGGCTGGCAGGTGCCTCGACAGTCCTCCACAGCCACAGGCTGTCCCACTGAGGAATCTCGGACCCACCCCGAAATCCGAACCGG